TTTCCATTATTTTATGATTCAAATTGATTTCCATTATTAACTAAACTTTTGCTTTCCGTTTTTGATGATTGCTTTAGGGCAGTGTGTCTTAGCTTGGACTCCTGTAACAAAATACCATAGACTGAGTAGTGTAAACAACAGATTTATTTCTCAAAATTCTAGAGGCTGGGAAATCCAAGATCAAGGTGCCAGCAGATTCAGTTCTGCTGAGGGCTGTTTTCCTGGCTGGCAGCTGACACCTCACTGTGTGCTAACACGACCTCTTCTTTATGTGGAGAGAGAGAGAGCTCTGGTCTTTCTTCCTCTTCTTATGAGGGCACTAATCCCATTATGGGCGCGCCACCTTTGTGACTTCAGCTAAAACTAATTAAAGCCCCACTCCAAAGTCTCTGTCTCCTAATACCATCACATTGGGAGTTAGGGCTTCAACATATGAATGGCGGAACGGGACAGGATGGTGGGGGACAGACACGACGACACACAAATTTTCAGTCTGAAAGATTTGAGTTGTTCTCAAATGTGATCTTAGAATACTTTTACACTCTTGAAAATCATTGAGGCCCCCCCAAGAGCTTTTTTTTTGGTGGGTTATATCTACCTTACCATATTTGAAATTATAACTGAGATTTTCAAAATATTATTCATTTAAAATAATGAGTTAACATAAATAACATGTTTTATGGAAAACAGCTATGTGTTTCAAAACAAATAGAAAAGTGACATTGTTTTACGTTTTTCTACATTTGCTTTAGTATCGGGCTTACTAGAAGACATGACAGATTTGCATATCAGCTTCTGTGTTCAGTATGTTGATATATGTTTTTTTGATTGAACTGTGTGAAGGAAATCTGGCCTCACTCAGATATGTAGCTGGAAGAAGGAGGAGTATTTTAATAGCCTTTTCAGGCTTCGTTTTTGATCCTTGTGATATTATAATGTAATAAATATATATTTGGTCTTTATCCAGTTTTTCACATAGAGCTCCTAAAACCCTTGGAATTTCCTGAATGATATAGGTGGGAGGAGCTGTTTTTTAATTCATAATAAGCCCCTTTCAACCATACCTGAGTTTACCTTAATGAGGTAACTCTTGGTGGACCCCAAAATAGCTTCAGAATGGTGGCTGATTGCCAGGGGAACCAACCGTGTGATTAGAGGGTTGGAACTTTCAGCTGGAAACCATCCCCTCCCCCCACTCCCCAGAGGCTGAAGATTGAGCTAATCACCAACAGCCAATGATTTAATCAATCATGCCTATGAAATGGGGCCTTCAAAAAAAAAACCTTAAACAGCAGGGTTCAGAGAGCTTCTTGGTTGGTGAATGCATCTACACGCTGGGAGAGTGGTGCACCCCAAACTCCACAGGGACAGAATCTCCTATGCTCCAGACCCTTCCAGATCTTTCCTTGTGTACCTCTTCATCTGATTGTTCATTTGTATCTTTATAATATCTTTTATAATAAACCAGTAATACTAAGTAAAGTGTATTCTTGAGTTCTGTGAGCCTGAGGAAGGGGTTGTGGGAACCCCCAATTTGTAGCCAAGTTGAACAGAAGTGTGGGTAACCTGGGGACCCACTACTTGAGATTGGTGTCTGAAGTGGGCATGGACAGTCTTGTGGGACTGAGCTCTCAACCTATGGGTCTACACTAACTCTGGGTAGTTAGTGTCGGAATTGAATTGACTTGTAGGACACCCAGTTGGTTTCTGCAGAGAATTGCTTCATGTGGAAAACCCACACGTTTGGTGTCAGAAGTGTTTTGAATAGAAAAACAATTTACCTTAAATACTACATCAGAAGTTTCTTAAAGGTTAGTTGGAATGTAGAATTGGTCTATCTTGCACTTCGAATGAATCTTTTACCTATGCATTATTTGTAACATCTTGCATTGGTCATTTGGAAAATATTGGTTCATTGCATTATGCAGATCTTCCAATGTTGATATATTTTGTTATATAACAATAATTCACACTTATCACCACTGATTTAATCAGAAGTCTGTAAGTATTGGGAAGCTGTAGAGCTCATGGTTGGTGAATACAAGTTTTTAACAGTTCTGATTTTCACTATAAAACTCTTTTATTGGTGACAGATACTGTTGTTTTCCTTGAAAACAGGCTCACTTGGTTTATTTTTGAGAAAATATCTACTAAATTCCCAAGTCTGAAGAACCATACTGTGTAATTTGCCCTTTCCAGTAAAAATGATGTTCCATGAAAACAGTAGCTTGTTCAACTCACAACTCAAACGATTGCACTTGTGCTTTTCCTTGAGGCAATAGCCATATTTCAGTATGCAGCAAAAGTACTTTTTGCATACTTCCATATTGTTACATAGAATGTTAAAAAAATTTTGTAATCAAGGGTTAAGACTTAATGTAATAAATAATTTTACTTCTTCAGTGTTCTTTCTCTAGTGACCCCCATTCCCGTATGTTCAAGGCAGTGAAGAATACAGTTACTACTAGTATAGTAACTATGCTAAGGCACCAGTAGTTTTACCTACTCTGCTTTGTACTATCAGTGCAAATGTCAACACAGCTGTTCCAGGATAAACCAGGAGTTTCAGAAAGTAATTCAACACTTTGAATATTTCAGTATAATTTGTTTGTTGTCAAGCATTCACATGAAAGATCTTACTAGATGATTAGTTAGTGCTGATTCCAGACGAATACAAGGAAAACAGCAAGTCCAGCCACATCTTAGATCTATCCATTTGTAAGGCACAAGTAGAATTCTGCAGAAGAGATATTAACTCAATCTTGATGCTATATCTTGTTCTTTAATTCAGCTAGTTGCTGTATCTTTAGAAAGTGGCTCTGCTGTGATTTCTTTTACTGACTTTTCATCCAGCAGACATTAATCAGTGTTAATAGTATAAGGTTTTATTAGTCATTCAGCCAATTTTTTATTGTATTAAGTGAATGAGAAGGAGAAGGGCAAAATCTTGTTTATGATAATGAAAATAGTCTTGAACTTATGAACCCCCTGAAAAGATCTGGGGCCCTCAGATTCCAATTTGAGAACTGCTGCTTCAAGGTTGTAACATACATCTTTAACTTATCATGTCTACCTTCAAATAATATTTTGTCTAGTAATTTTTGACTAGATACTGGACATGATGAATATTACATTATTCAGTGTCCGGATTATGTATATTTCTTTAAAGAATATTGAGTTGTTATGGCAGACTGTTAATTTACTTGCAGATCAGCTGATCCCTTTGAGACTGGAGTAGGTCTAAAGTAGCTTTTACTTTGGGTCTGGTTTAGTCCTGTTTCTCAAGCATGGCCTTTTTGGGGTCTCTACTGAATGCTCCAGGTGTTTATTATAAAGTTCTCTCCACTCTGGGTGATTGGAACTCAAATGTGTTCTAGCCTTGTGCGCTCCAGTAATTTTTCAGTTTATAGCTCTCTAATACTTATTCTTTGCCTGGCTTTGTGGAATCTCATTCTGTGTATGCACAACTTTGAATTTAGCTAAAGACTCAAGGGAACCCCTGTATAGGTCATTGAAGCTCTTTCTCTGAGTGGCTCCCTCCTCTCTGAGACTCTGCATCCGTGAAATCCAACTAACTCACCTCCTTGAACTCTGATCTGTGCTCAACAGGACTGCCGTGTTCTTCTGGTTCCCTTCCCTTTACTGTGGTCCAAAAGTGTCCCTGTGCTGAAAGCCAGCGTGATTGTAGGGCTCCCCTCATTTGTTTTCCTTCTTTCAGGGATCACCCTCTTGTTCTACCTGTTGTCCGGTATTTAAAAAGAGTTTGTATAATTTTGTCCAGTTTTTAGTTTATAGTTCAAAAAGCTAGTCTGGTTTCATTTATTTCAGCATGGGCAAAAGCAGACAACCAGTTTTAACTACTGTTAGTTTTTCTGATGGTTACCTTTACGTGATGGCTTTTAAGAAACAAACTAAAAGCCTGATTGATAATTGTTCCATTTTTTTTTTTAGAAATTATTTTTATAATTGCTAATAGAGTCATGAGATTAATATTCAAAAGATACAAAAGAGGATTCAGTGCTAGGTCTGCCTCCCACATGTGTCCTCCACTCATGCAGTTCCTCTCACAAGAGGCAACCAGTGTTATATAAACATATTCTTTTTTTTTTTTTAAGATTTTCTCCTCCTTTTTTTTTCCCCCCAAAGCCCCAGTAGATAGTTGTATGTCGTAGTTGCACATCCTTCTAGTTGCTGTATGTGGGACGCGGCCTCAGGATGAACGGAGAAGTGGTGCCTCGATGCGCACCCGGGATCCGAACCCGGGCCGCCAGCATCGCAGCGCGCGCACTTAACCGCCAAGCCACAGGGCCGGCCCTAAACATATTCTTAAGATTGCATAATATACTGTTTTAAGAATTTACCATACTTATTTATCTAATTTTCTATTAATGGGCACTCTAGGGAAATGAATGTGCTGTTATGAATAATGAGTATGTGTGATGCCAGTATTTTATTTTATTATTTTGTGTGTGTGTGAGGAAGATCAGCCCTGAGCTAACATCCGTGCTAATCCTCCTCTTTTTGCTGAGGAAGACCGGCTCTGAGCTAACATCTATTGTTAGTCCTCCTCCTTTTTTTTTCCCCCCAAAGCCCCAGTAGATAGTTGTATGTCGTAGTTGCACATCCTTCTAGTTGCTGTATGTGGGACACGGCCTGAGCATGGACGGGTAAGCGGTGCGTCTTGCGCGCCGGGGATACGAACCCCGGGCCACCAGTAGCGGAGCGCGCGCACTTAACCGCTAAGCCACCATGCCGGCCCTGTGCCAGTGTTTTAGATGTAGTTAGTGTATCCTTGTCAGTAGGCATGTCTCCCACTTTTATGATTTTATGATTGTCCAGAGTGATAAAACTTTAACTAGGTTTTCAAATGATATGCTCCAAAAAGGCTCTTTTGGTAATATTATCTGTGGTTTATTCCAAATACCAAACTGTAAAAATATGTTAAATTCTAATCATGATTTGAGTGCATATCTCACAAGAATCTGTTTTTACTCTTTCAGGCCATAATGCAACAGGGAGATACATCCATAAAACCCATCCTCCAAGTCATTGTGAGTACCTACATATGTTTTATGTCAAACATTTTTTAAACTTATATGTAATTATAAATTACATTTGACAGAGGACATACAGATTTGTCCACTTTAGGAAGTTCTCTCCATCATCACAAAAAATAGGCCAGTCCATGTTGTAACCCTGAGAGAGGAAGCGAGCTTACTTGTCTTTACTTGTCCTTACTTGTCTTCCTGCCCTGAGGTTTGTCTTGTCAAATCTGCCTTACATATGGCCTCCAGAGAGATCTGCCTAAAATGAACTTGTCTGCTTAAAATTCTCCATTAACCCTATCATTCATTTAAGGGGTTCTCAAACTTGAGTGGGAATTTTAAAAAATCAATAGAAGCAGAATCCTAAGTCATACCTGCACATTCTGGGCCTGATGGTCTCCCTGTTCCTCCCAAACTCACTGCCAGTCATCTTAAGGCTTTGTTTACATATTCACTTCTTTCAGAAGCTGCCTCTGCTTTCCTTCAAGTTGGGATAAAAGTCTTGGCTCTGGCCTATATCATTATATGCACACCTCTCTTATGTCTCTCTGCCTCGGCCTCCTCCCCAATTGTAAGTCCCTTCAGGGCAAAGATTTTTTTTTCATTTGTATTTTTAGCATGTTTCCTACACAGTATCTTGCGTATACTAGGTGCTTAGTTATGTGTTTTTTATTTTTTTTGTGTGAGGAAGATCAGCCCTGAGCTAACATCTGTGCTAATCCTCCTCTTTTTGCTGAGGAAGACCAGCTCTGAGCTAAGATCTATTGCCAATCCTCCTCCTTTTTTTTTTCCTCCCAAAGCCCCAGTAGATAGTTGTATGTCATAGCTGCACATCCTTCTAGTTGCTGTATGTGGGATGCGGCCTCAGCATGGCCGGGGAAGCGGTGCGTCGGTGTGCGCCCGGGATCCGACCCCGACCCCGGGCCGCCAGTAGCGGAGTGCGCACACTTAACTGCTAAGCCACGGGGCCGGCCCTGTTATGTATTTTTTTAAAGTGGATTTTCAACCAAATTTGATTTAGGGTAGAGAGAACACAAGAGTATTGGCAACTCATTTTATTCTCATGTATGTTATGTTTAATAATGTTGGTGGAGAGAGGTTGGTGGGAGAATCATCAAATCCAATTTTCTTTGACTTGGATTTAGGTATCAAGAGAATGAGCAAGCAGTTCAGTTTGTGTTGAACTAATGGCAGACCCACTCTCCTACCACTTAGGTTTACTTATCCCTGGAGACTGGGCAGACAACCTGGCTAATGAATCATATTTTCTATCCTAGAACATTCGTGCCATTACTACAGGGAGTAGTCCACCCCGTTATCGACTGCTTATGAGTGATGGATTGAACACACTATCCTGTAAGTATGATGTATAAATCTAGGAATTTATATTTAAATAATAAAAGCACATCCAACACTTTGATTGCAATATTTTGAGGCATTCCAGAAGTCTATATTTGCTTGGCCAAGCACTTCATTCAGACAGAATTGCAGCTGACAAAGAACATTCTAACAATAGACTGGATCTAGTGGAAAGCTGCCACTTGGCTTAATTAATTTTCTCTAACTGGTGCTCTGTGTTTTTTTTTATTAATTTCCCTCAGGATGATATTGACATTTAGTGAATATGATGGGTTAGCTGTCCTATACTTGCGTTTTTGGGGTTTTATTTCTGTGTTGGAAACTTTACAAGGGAGAAATGAGAGAATTTGCAGAATATATGCTTGCTATCTCTAGTCGGAAGGTGAAGGACCTAGAAAAGATTTTTTAGTCTTTGTCATGAAACCTGAATGATGGAAAAAATGATATGAGGCACTGAAGAAATACTTGCACTTCAGAGTAGTAGCAGATGTTTAATGCACAGCAAATTAATACTGTTTTTCACTATGCAAGGTCTGAGTAGTTTTAACTTCAGGCACACATTTAAGGCATCGCTGTTCTTTGCTGGTATGGGTGTGATCAGCTTTCAGATGTCACGCCTGAAATGCTCTGGAAACTAAAGTAGTCTCTGTGCCTTTCAGCTTTCATGTTGGCAACACAGTTGAACCCTCTTGTTGAGGAAGAAAAACTGTCCAGCAACTGCATTTGCCAGATTAACCGGTTTATTGTTAACACTCTGAAAGATGGAAGGTATGTGATGTGTTTTTTTCTGTTTTATCGTATTGTAGAATGGGGACTAAGTTTTGAACAGAGAAGTTCATTGGATGCCAGAATTTAATTAGGAATCAGAAAGGCAATGATGAGCTTTCAGCTAAGAATTTATAGCTATTGAGTTCTGAACTCAGGTGACTCAGACATGGCACCAAAGGGATAGAAATATGGAAACAAATGGGAAATTTCAGAGCAGGAGATTAAAGCGTAATGCAGAACTCTTTATTTCTAATCTCTTCAGAAGCACTGTTTTTAGAATTCTCTCTTAAAGTATCTTTTAATGAAAAGGGGTCACTTATTAGACCAAGAAAGATGTGATTAATTATGTAACACTGCCCCTTTTTTGCAGTCTCACATCTTTCATAGTAAATACTTATTCAGCCAATATAAAGTATGTCGAGTTTCTACAAGATGCTGCATGCTAGAGATAGAAGGGTGAACAGAACTGTTATTCAGGCCCGGGTAACCAATGCTAAAATACGGCATTTTTTGTTCGGGAGAGGCTTTATATTCCATTTTTCTCTCAAATCTTTTGTTTTCAATTACAAAACACAACCAAAACACATGAGAAGCAAATATGGCAAGCGTTTCTGTCTTAATAAGGGTGTATCAATGTATGTTACATTATTATCTGTACATTTCCAAATAACTTTTTTGATTTATGTTTGATATATTGTTATCTTTCTTTTAACTTTCAACCTTTCTCTTATTAAACTTAGACAGATATAGTTTTAAAATTCAATTTGAGATTTAATTGATGAGTTTATTCTGCTTAATTGATTTTTTTTTCCTTAAATTTTGTGCTTTTACCATGTTCTTGCTTTACTTTTTTCTCTTTTCTTGTTTTGGATTGATTGAGTTTCCTTAATTCTCTTTTTTTCTTCTACTGGTTTGGAAGTTATACATTCTATTTGTGTTTTCTTTGCAGTTACTCTCATATTAAAAAAAAGAAATCCATATTCGAATTAACAAAAATTATAAAGTAGGTCAATATCTTTACCATCCTCCCAAATAAAAAAAAAATCTTAAAATGATCCTACTATGTCAAGTTGTAGTTCATTTTCTTACAGTCGGTGCTTACTTAGATTCACCCGTAGTTTGTCAACTTGCCTTGGCCTCTTTCGTCACACTCCTTCCTGTGTAGTTCTGTTTTCATTTTCCTGAAGAATGTCTTTTAGCAGCTCTTACAGGGAACGTTTGTGAATGGTAAAAATCTCTGTCATCAAAAATTGTCTATGTTTGACTCAGTTAAACTAGTTTAACTGGGTATAGAATTCTAGGTTAATAGTTATGTATTTCTCTGTATCATGTAGTAGTGTCTTCACCCTGATAGAATTTTGTGTTCTCGTCATATTTTGTAGAACAACTTTTATTATGCAAGTAATATGTACATAAATTACAAAACTCGTATAAACAAAAAGAAAAATAACTATAATCCCACTGCCTAGAAATAACTATTGTTAACATGTTGTTGTATGTCCTTCCAGGTTTTTTTATGAATATATATATATATGTTTTTAAACTTCATAATAGATATGGTTTTATAATATCCTTTTTTAACTTTATATTGATCAGTTTTACATGTCCCTAGATATACCTCTATGTCATATGTTACTTAGTATGCCATTGTAGCATTTACCATAATTTAGTTAACATTTAAATTGTCTACAGCATTTCACTATTTAAAAATTTTTACCAGTGATTCTTTGAATATATCTGGAGCTCTATTTTTTATGTGTATTCAATTTTTTGAGAGAATATGATTATTTTAATAAAAATGACATATAGTATAATCCATTCAAAGAAAAAAAGGTACAAAGGGGGAAATTGTCCAAAATTCAAACAACCGAGAAATAACTATATTATCATTTAGTGAACATCATTCCAGATATCTCACAGTGCATGTTTATTAATGATTGGTGGATAGATAGAAATAATTTTGATAGTAGAATGATAATATCAATACTGTTTTTGCTCTCCTCCTTCCTGAGTAGTTCAGTCCAAAAGCCATGAGGTGGGGCCAAGCGAGGTAGATGTTCACAGGGGAGGGGGCGGTGGTGGTGACCTGGAACCAGGTGTCAAGAGCCCGAACGAGGTGAGGAGGGTGTCTTTGTGTGCTGGCACAGGGTGTTGGAGCATGAGCACATAAGGTGAATATGCGTGGGGGAGGGTCGCTGTGGCCCAGCGTGGGTTATCAGAGCCTGAGTAGGGTGAGGCAGGTGTCTGTGTGCTGTTGGATCCTGAACAACTGAAGAGGTGTGGGGGTGTGGGGACAGCAGCAGGTTGTTGGAGATTGAATGGGGTGAGGAGGGAGTCCAAGCAGGATAAGGAGAGTGTCTGTGCAGGGAGTGGGGGCAGCCTAGCATGAGATGTTAGAACCCAAGTAGGGAGAGGAGAGTGCTTGTTTGTAATGGGGTGGTGGTGGCCTAGAGCCAGGTATTAGAACCTAAGCATTGGCAGGAAAGTGTCCATGCATGCAGCAGTGTGGGTGGCAATAGGAGATTGGTTACATTTGGGGGAACTGATATAGTAAATAAATATATTGAGGGCAACGGGAGCTGGCCAAGGGAGAAATCTGTGCTTTTGGATTGGAATTGGAGGTATCAGAGTAAAGTCAAGGCTTTCAGTACAGTCATGCTTAATGATGAGGATATGTTCTGAGAAATGTGTTGCTAGGCAATTTCATCATCATGTGAACATCATAGAGTGTACTTACACAAGCCTAGATGATATAGCCTGCTACACACCTAGGCTATGTGGTACTAATCCTATGGGATCACCATCATATAGGCAGTCCATTGTTGACCGAAACATCGTTATGCAGCACAGGAGTATAAATGTAGGTAGAAAGATAAAGAAATAAATATAGATATAAATATTTGGTTTGTTTTATATATTATTTATTTATTTATTTTTATTCAATTTATTTAAGCTAAAAAAACAAAACAATTCACCCGTTTCTCCCACCCACCCCCACCCCCACTTCTGGCAACCACCAATCTGTTCTGTCTGTGAGCTTGGGTTATTATTATTATTTATTTATTTATTTATTATATTCCACATATAAGTGAGATCATATGGTATTTGTTTTTCTCTGTCTGACTCATTTCACTTAGCATAATACCCTCAAGGTCCATCCATGTTGTTGCAAATGGCAAGATTTCATTCTTTTTTGCAGCTTAATAATATTCCATTGTATGTATGTATTGTATGTATGTGTGTATATGTATATACACACCACAGTTTCTTTATCCATTCATCCATTGATGGACACTTTGGTTGTTTCCATATCTTGGCTATTGTAAATAATGCTTCAGTGAACACGGGGATGCCTATATCTTTTCGAGTTAGTGTTTTCATTTTCTTCGAATAAATACACTGAAGTGTATCTATTTTTAATTTTTTCAGGAACCTCCACTGTCTTTTCCATAGTGGCTGCACCAATTTACATTCCCACCAACAGTGCGCAGGGGTTCCCTTTTCTCCACGTCCTTGCCAACACTTGTTATTTCTAGTCTTTTTGATAACAGATGTGAGGTGATACCTCATTGTAGTTTTGATTTGCATTTCCCTGATGATTAATGATGTAGAGCGTCTTTTCATGTACCTCTTGGCCATCTGTGTGTCTTCTTTGGAAAAATGTTTATTCAGATCTGGATTGTGTATGTGTATACACATATTGTGTGCGTGTGTGTGTGTGTGTGTGTTTATGTGTATGTGTATTCCCTAGAACTGTCTACTGAGAGGGCTTTGGAGCAGCAACACCTCAATAGTTGTGAGCCAACTTAGCACCCAGATCTTGGTTTCTGAATGCTATTTTACACTAAAAGGAAGCAGGGCTTCTTGGAGGATGGCTTATTACAGGCTTGGAAATTGCAAGAAGAACCTGGAGTATCTTAATGTGCCAGAAGGTAAAGAAGTGCTCAAAGGGAGATGGGACCATGTCAAAAAGACAGAGAAACTGGCTTGCAGAGTCTTACGCTTGCCAAATCTAGGGCAATTTAAAAATCTAAATAAATAAAAATAGTAACATTGCAACCTAGTGAATAAAATAGGAATTCCTAAGTCCATACTGAATAAATGAATACATGGTGGGAACAGAAAGCTTTTTCTTACAACAGAATGCCATCTAACAAATGTAGAAGGAATGATGAAATTAGAAAATCACCATTTGGCAACCATCACAGTATTAATTGATACAGGAAACATCATTAGGTGTTGCATAAGTTTCCTGTGGCTGTTAGAACCTATTACCACAAACTTGTTGGTTTAAAACAACAGAAATGATTCTCTGGAAGTCAGAGTTGAAATCAGTTTCACTGGGCTGGGATCATGCTGTGGGCAGGGCCACACTCCCTCTGGAAGCTCTATGGGAGAGTGCATTCTTTTTCCTCTTTCAGCTTCTGGTGTTTGCTAGCATTCCTTGGTTATGGCTATGTCGCTCCTGTCGCTGCCTCCGTGGTCACAATACCTCCTCCTCTTCTCTGTCAGATCTGCCTCTGCTTCCCTGGTGTAAGGATACATGTGATTGCTTTTAGGGCCCATTGAATGATCCAGGATCATCTCGCCATTTCAATCCTTAGCTTAATCACATCTGCAAAGTCTCTTTTTGCCATATAAGGTAACATTCACAGGTTCCTGGGATTAGGATGTGGCTGTGTTTTGGGGAGTCATTCAGCCTACCACAGATGCTGAAGCAAGTGGTTGATGAGGAACAGGTTATTTTTAGAGTTCAAGTAATTCCCCATAATATAATTATTAATTGTAAAAGTAAAAGAGGCAACTTTACAGTGGAGAAACCTGGCAGATGGCACCTTATTCTAATGAGTAACATTAACATTACCAGTGATGGGACAAATAGAAATAGTGTATTACCAGATAGGATACAGTGAGAAGAACACAGCATCACTATATTATATTCTTGCCAAAATGCATTCTCTGTATCCATTCATGAGGAAGCCTCAGGTAAATTGAGGGAT